TCTGCAGCACCTTGATGTTTCTGTGCTGGGGGAGCTGGTTCCGAGGCTCTGTGAGCTGCTGAAGAGTGGAGTAGGCTTAGGCACCAAGGTAAGACACGCCTGTATCATTCATTCATTTGTTGATGCTTTAAAGGAATTCTTTACATCTTCCTGTCAATATCTTGTACATCCATCCATGTTTTTCCTTCGTAAAGCTTTTTGGCTCAACTCCTGTTGTTCTTAACTGTAGCTGTATGAATACATCTGACTTGACTTTCCTCTCTAATATTAGTAAAGGTATAGTTTTCCCAGTTGACCTGCTAATGTTTGCCTGCTCTTTGTAGGGTGGCTGTGCGAGTGTAATTGTTTCACTGACGGTGCAGTGTCCTCAGGACCTCACCCCTTATTCAGGTACATCTCAAGTTTTCATCTGTTCCTGTCATGTATTTACTTTTGGTGCAAATCAGCTAATAACAGGCAAATCTTTGGTGCTTCCAGGTAAACTGATGAGCGCCCTGCTGAACAGTGTCCATGACAGAAGCACTGTAGTGCAGAAAGCATTTGCATTTGCTTTGGGACACTTAGTCAGGGTAAGTTGGATAAGTAATTTTATAAATATATAATATATATCTTAATATATATACATATGTTGTTCTCAGAGTAACTCACAAAGCATTGTTTTTATACCTGTTTGCCCCATCAGACAGCAAAAGACAGCAGTGTGGAGAAACTACTACTGAAACTCAACACCTGGTACTTGGAGAAAGAAGGTGAGACAAAAGAAAATGTAAAATGACAACGAGTTTCTGCATGGAACCAAACAACTTTGCTCTCCTGTTTTCTTTCTGGTTCATCATTCCCTCTTTTACCCACAGAGCCAGTGTATAAGTCATCGTGTGTGTTGATCGTGCATGCCATCAGCCACTACAGTCCGGATGTGCTAAAGGGACATGCAGGAGTGGCCCTGCCGTTAGCTTTCTTGGGGATGCATCAGGCTCCAGGTCCTGATGAGGAGAAAGGAGAGAGCCATGACGCCACACTGTGGGCCGAGGTGTGGCAGGAGAATGTCCCAGGTGAGAAATATACAGTATAATACACGCGATTTAAAATAAACATTTTTGGTCATTATTAAAGAGCACCGTGCTTATTCAATGCCTTCATCAACAAATCAAAAGTTCGTTTTATTTCCAAGCAATGAAGGACAAAATACTATGGCAAACTAATATGGCACGAGTCACATAAAATCAAAATAGATGAGAATGTGTAATGAAAGTAAAAAAAAAAAAAAAAACATTTAACAGGATAACAGAATTGTAATTATGATAACTTGACATTTTATACTCTGAATCCAGGAAGCTTCGGAGGCATCAGACTCTACATGACGGAGCTGATCACTATCACGCAGAAAGCTCTGCAGTCCCAGTCCTGGAAGATGAAGGCTCAGGGTGCTGCTGCCATGGCAACCGTCGCCAAAGAGCAGATGGGCTCATTGGTGGCACCACACCTTGGCTTAGTGCTCACAGCTTTAATGCAGGGACTGACCGGACGCACCTGGGCGGGCAAGGTAATGACTGTTCATTCAAGATTTAACCTTAAAAATAAACTGATATTTGTGATTAATGCAAAACTTTTTTCTTTTTTGTTGCAGGAGGAGCTGTTGAAAGCCATTGGATCAGTGGTGAGCAAATGCAGGTGAGATTCATTCTCCCACTTATTATCAGAATTATGTGGAAGGCAACATTCACTTTCTGTCTTTCTTACTGTTTTTTTTCTTACTGTTGCTTTTAGTGCCGAGCTGCAGAAGCCTTGGCCAGGTCAGCCCACTGTCCCTGAGGTTCTGGAGGTTGTGTTGAAGGAATGCCGCAAAGAGAGTCTGGTGTACAAAATGGCCGCTTTGCGTTGTGCGGGAGATGTGCTCCACAGCAGCCAGGAGGACCGCTTTAGTGACATGGCAGAGATCCTTCTCCCTCTTATCAAGAAGGTTCGTTATCACAGCTTCTCATTTAGTATTGCCTGGTTTTTGTAATGGTGCCATATTTAAAAACATTTCTGGGTTTTAAGACTGTGCTCAGTCTGTCTTCTTCAAACCCAACAGAGCTGCCCAGAGAGCGGTGCAGCGTCCCCGAGGTCAATGGAGGACGATGATGACAGAGATGTGAAGGAGAAAGAGCTGCAGACTGAAGCTTTGCTTTGTGCTTTCGAGACTCTGGGAAAGACGTGGCCCAAGAACCCACAGACTCAGGGTAAAGTTTAGTCAAATAATAAACATTGTTTTCACAAAATACGTTTAATAAATGCACATCTTGAGATGTGACTCACAAACTAATGTGAAGTGTGTGTGTGTGTGTGTGTAGCTCGTTTCCAGGTGGATGTTTGCACTCTAATGTGTGAAAAGCTCAAGCGAAGCACTTGGAAAGTGCAGCTGGCTGTTCTACAGTCCATGAAGTTGTTCTTCCAGGGGTAAGAACCAACAAACAATTCCTTATCAACCATTCTCTTATATTTTCTTTTCTTAAATTAATCATGAGGGTTCCAAGTTGATAGATTTCTGCTCACATTTTTAAATTGAAGATTATTTGAAGACATTAGCTGTTAATCTTTTTGTTCTGTAGGTTACTGCTGCTGGAGAAAGGCAGTGAAGACTTTAACACGCTGTCCCAGATCCTCACAGAGACGAGTGCTGGTCTCACGTACCCGTTAGGTACTGGCCTCACAATCTCAAAGCATTTTGCATTAAACTCTTTATATTTGTGTTTCATCACCATATTTTTTTTCCTTTCCAGAAAACAAAAGTTACTCGTCTGTGAGGACAGAGGCTTTGTCAGTTGTGGATTTGATCGTAAAGAGAACTGGAGGTACATTTTTTTGTCATGACTCTCTAATGGTGAACTGTTCTAAATTGTGAGTGTGCAGCAAAAAGAGTGGAGCTTATTATGTTTATACAGTTTCAGGTAACATATTCTCTGCCTGGAACAGAGTTGAACAGTTCAAATTGATTCCTGTTGCCAGTCTTTCCAGTCTTGGTCTTAGCTGTGTGGCTTGGGGTTGCAACACGATCAGTGTTTCCAAACATATCTGTTTAGACGCTTGAAATCTCAGGAGTAGTTTGGAGGTCATGCTCATAGCAACACTTGTGTGTTTTAAAACTAGAACTCAGAAGAGGGGATGTAGCTTAAGATGGAGGACCATTGTGATTTCTAATACTAAGATTTTATATTTTAATTCATGTTCAATATCAGTATGAATGTTTTTGGTTTACTCTCTTGTAATATACAAACACGTAATGTTTACATTTGGACTGTTCTATATATATATCAGAGATTATTGACGTGTCACTGATGAAATATTCTTGTGAACAGAGAGTGAGCAGTGGGACTGTGTGTCTGTGAAGAGCCGGGAGCAGCTGCAGCGCTCCCTCTCCACGCTGCAGTCCGACAGCAGACCCGACCTGAGGGATAAGGCTCAGGAGCTGCGTCGACACATCCAGAGTCAACCCTGAACAGACACGCACATAAAGAGAGAGCTCATAGAGTCCGCCAAATACATACAGATACACACAGAGTACAAAGCAAGAAAACAGCATCAATGTCTTTTAACATAGTAATGAGTAACACAAATCATTCACTACTTCTCTGTCTGACCTCTTTGCCAAAGCAGTTGTCTCTTTACGCAGATATTTCCAAACTCCTCAATCATGCATCCATATTCATTTAACCTGTGGGCTTTGAAACTGACCTGTGCAACAGAGCACTCCAATCAAGCTGAATGACTGAAGCTTGAAGAGACCACATTAACGCAACTTGCCCTGAGTCTGGACTCTCAGCGACACCGGTGGAGGGCGAGGCTAATTTTTGTAACGTGTCAAGCTTAACTTGGTTCATTTAAATGGACAGCAAGATGATAATAAATGCTATATAAACCAATCTGTTAGGTTTGTGGACACTGTATACCTGTAGCCCCAAAGTGGGGACTTTTACTACTGTTGTGAGTTTGCCTACTCATTAATTATCTGAACATCATCGGGTCGTACACGCAGGAAGACAGACTTTACGCTCTGGTTCACAGTTTGTGTACTTTGAGCTCAAAGTCCTGACGCCTGTGTTTGTTCCTGCTGGTGAAGGTGGAGGAGCTGGTAGAAAGCCTATTTTGTGAAATGTTGAGAATGAGAAAAAAAACCCTGCTGTTAAATTCGAAGTGATGCTATAGCTGTTTGAAATTGTCCCTGATGAAATAAAACTACCTTGGTAATTTGATGACTTTATAGTGTCTTAGCACAGCGTGGTTGTAGATCGGTGGCAGACTTGTCAGGTGCTGAGGAGAGGTATGAAACCACATGTACTGATCGAGTATAAATAATGTGAAAATCTCAAGCTCAGAAGCTTTGCTGCATAATGCAACACCTGATAGTCTTCCTTTAGATTTTGTGTTAACGTTAGAACCTAGAACCAGATGCATTACCTTATAATAATAATTTCATTTATATTGCAAAGTATGAATAAAACATGATGGAAGTAATGAAATTTAAAAAATGTAACATGATAAAATACTAATAGTTTCAGCCATACCAATAATTAAGAAAACATCTTACAAAACAGGTGAGCTTTAATAAGGTTTTTGAAAGAAGATGCTGAGTTAACCTGCAGGAAATCTTTAAATGTTAAAAGCCTGGCAGCAGTGTTTTGTATTAGTTATAATCTTTGCATATTCCATTTGCTGAAACCTGCAAAGAATCAATATATTAAATATTTTTCAGAATTGTCAACAAGACAAATGGTTGATTAAGCAAGGAAGTGATCTATACTGAGGTCAAAATCTTTGAATCACTGAACTTCTTTGCTTACACCTCCTATAAAGATGTAATATGTGGTATATACAGATAAACTACTGTACTATGTTGTGCTTGCACTCTTGTTGTTCCTGTTGCTGCCACTAGTCGGCAACAAAGTCATGCATTTTTAAATCCAATAGATGGCTTTCACTTTGTAAAGCACAATGGAAACAAACCAAATCAATACTCAGACTCGACATTTGAGATTGACTTTATTTACTAAAATATATGGTCACATCAGATGCATATAAATGATCAATAGGAAGAGTGTGAACACAAGTTGCACAAGAGAGGACAGACAAAAACAACTTTACTTTAGGTTTGAAATAGACAAACATGAGAACAGCTGAACAGAGAGAACATGGCATGAAACAGAAATACAGCCTGAGGGTCTTCACAAGACCAACTATAAATGACTGAACTCTTAAAAGCATTATGAGTAATTACTATCCACAGAGCAAACAGGAGTAGGCACAGCTCATCAGTTATTAACAAATACCACATTTTCTTATGTTACGTGATTTCGCTTCAGGATAAAGACATAATAGAGTGAATATGTCCTGCTGTACTGCTCCTATATAATAATTAGCTGATGAGCTGTTTGGTCCTCTTGTCTTTCTGACGAGCCTTGTCTTGGCCCTTCTGGGGAAGGTTGGCGTCACTCTGGCTGAGCGCAGTCCGCGACACTGCGGACATGCCATCGACAAACTTCGTCTTAAACAGGACGTTGGCGTTGGTGAACATGCCGTCCTTCAGGGACACCACCACAAACTGTAGGGAGAGTTCGAATGCACGTTGGACATGATGTTCGTAAAGAAAAGCTTATAGCTAAATATTAAATGTATGCTCCAATTGGCTTTAACTGACCTGTGAGTGTCTAAAATGTGTGCGCAGCATCTGTCCAATGTTCTGTGTGTGGGAAAGATCCAGAGCAGCATCCACCTCGTCTAAGATGTAGATGGGGGCGGGTTTGAACAACAGCATGGCCAGAATGAGAGACAAGGCCACCAGTGATCTGAAAACACAAGCAGGGTGGTTGATGAAAAGTGATGACAAAGAAACCTCTCACTAAAGAAGTAAAGAACATTTCAACCACAAATAAATGACACCTGATGACCATGTAAGTGGTTCTGCTGACCTTTGCCCTCCACTGAGCTCAGTGAGGTTCTCCTTCCAGGTGTTGCCCAAGGCCACCTTGAACTCCAGACCCTCCAACACACCACAGCCCTGAGGGGGAGCCAGCTTAGCAGTGGCCCCCGGCAGCAGGGTGGAGAAAATGGAGCCAAAGTCCTTGTTTACCTAGAGAGAGAGAGAGAAACAATAAAATGTTAAGAAAAAGGTTTTGTGAGGTGCGACCAAATCCATAAAAGCAATATTTAAACTGATTCAAACCACAGGGATCAATTCTCAGCTGTCAATTTGATCGCTATTGTTGAATCCTTTAGTTTTCTTATATCTCTAACATCAGTTTCAGTGACTTCTTTTAAAGCATGATGGAGTTTACACTAGTAAAAACAACCAGTGACAGATTTGACAGAGGAAAACATGAAGAAAAAGTAAAAATCCTCCAAATAAAGAAATGTGCAAAAATAAGAAAAGGGACATAGAGGCAGAAATGTTTGTGTGGGGGTAGTGGGAGGGAACCTCCATCTGGACCAGAGGATGAATCAGTGCAGGTGAGAGCTGTTAGCTGATTGATCCTCTGGTACAAAAGGCAGCGGCTGAGCTGTCTCACGTAGACATGCTGGACAGAGACACACAAGGACTGAAATGCAGAGACAGAGCTGAAAAGCTGAAAGACATATTTTGAGGTGTATGTCTTGAGTTTAGTTGAGTGATCACTAAAGATGCTGCAAAGCAACACATATCTCTGGCTGTGTGTGGGAGAGCCCAGTGACACGGTCAACTGCCACAGTATGTTTTATCAATGTATTAATGTTGTTCATGTCCAGTTAATGTAAATACAAAATGTATTGGGGATAAAGTAGCCAGCTATTAATATATTTTTTAAAAATCTGTATAAATGCCATGGTAACACCTGACAGCTGAACAAGTTTACATTGTATCATTGTGTGTCCATATTAAAAAGTCACATTAATCAATGAAAGATGGAAAAGAGACGATAAATAGAAGAAAAAGAAATGAAATTGCAAAAAGATGGACGACCTTCTGCCATGCCACGTTGAGAGCCTCGTTCTTCTTCTGGTCCAGCTCTTCGATGGTCTGCAGGATCTTTGCTTTATCGTTCTCCACAATCCTTTTCTTCTTCATCAGGTCATTGTACTGCAGAAAGATGAGGGAGCTGTTAGACAAAACTGTGGTTGACATTTTTTTTTGCATTTTGTTATTCCACCGTCTTTGTCCCCACCCTCTCCTCCGCCTCGTTAAGCATGTTCATGGCCCTCTTGTTGATGTTCCTCTCCAGCTTGCTGGTCGTCTCCTCCAGTTTCTTCAGCCGCTGGCCTGCCTCGCGTGGGTTGTTGGTCTTAAAGTCGTAGGAGGTGTTTGGTTGACCGAAGAAATGGCGCTCTGATTGGATCCAGTCGTGTTCCTCCAGCATCCGAGACACCTGGAGGAGGATAAAAAGGCAAAGGGAAGCAGAAATGTTTAAGAGACCAACATCGGAGTAAATAAGAATATATATACACTTTACTATTGTAGAAGCTAATTAACTTTGTGTTTACCTTGTCAGCAGCGTCATGGCTGTCTTTGCGGTGTTTGCTGATGTTGTGCTCCAGCTCCTTTATCTTCAGCTGGAATTCATTGTTCTGCTCCCTCATCTTATTTGCCTCAGTGCTTTTCCCCTGGAGGATTCAAATGGACAAATGTAAGAATTGATTTCAATTAATCAAACAGTCAAGTGCAAGCAGTAAAATGATCCATCACCACACAACTGAAATGAGACACCAGATGAGAGAATTTAAAAAAAAGTGAAGTGAACATATGGTGTAAGATTAATTCCATAATTATGAGTTCTCAAACCCATCTATTGAAAACCTTCTCAAGAGGAAATTTAAAAACCAAAGCATTGAATCAAAAACTATATTTACCTTGAGCTCTTTGTCCTGAGCCATGATCACCTCCTTCTGCTTGGCTAGATCCTCCTGAGCTTTACGCAAATCCTCCTGCATCCCCAGAGAAAATTAAGAATAGTGAGGGCAAGTGAGAGTCATTTCTAGACATATCAACTTCACACTAAACATGCAACTTTAAAATGTGCCTGATCCTTTGGAGATGGAAACATCCTTTAAAGTGCAAACTCTTAATGTGGCCATGATATAATTTCATATATTCAGACGTGTTCAGAATGACACAATTACCTTGTTCTGGGATACAGTGCAGGCCATGCTGTCTATCTGCTCCTGGATGGCCTTCATGGCTTCATCTACAGCCTGAATCTGCTGCTCATAACCAGCCTGTTCCCTCCGCAGCTCCTCTAGCTCCAGGGCCACAGCATCAGACTCCTGAATTTAACAAGAAAAAAAGACATTTAATACATTTGTCAAATGCAGATTTCCATTTAATAATAATGTTACATGAAATGGATAATTGTGAAGAACAGCGTGTGTGTGTGTGTGTGTCCGGTGTACCTGCTGCTTCTCCTTCAGTTTCTTGTTGAAGACATCAGCTTTGCCTTTGGCAGCATTGAGCTTCTGCTGAGCAGCTTTCAGCTCCTTCTCCCTCTCTGCTTCAGCATTTTTCATCTTGTTCTCCAACACCTTGTACTTTTCTTCCGCCCGCTTCTGCACATCCTTAGTGACTCGCAAAGTCTCCTCACTCTCCTCTGGATTAGACAACAACACCACAGTTAGCATGCGATTGTACGGTACAGACGTGACTTTAAAACTATTGGTGTGAAACCAGTAGCATTCTGACCGATGGCTTTGCGCAGCCTCTCCAGCTCCTCTTGCTGCTGGTGGAAGGAGCTCTGTTGTAGCTTGGCCTGCAGAATCTGTTCCTCCTCCACCTTCAGCTCATGCTGCTGCTTCAGCTGACGATACCTGGAAGGAGCAAATGTGGTGGATCGAAGAGTTGGGGTTAGGTGAGGAAAAAGATGTGATCGTGAAAAGCTAGGATAAACCTAGATAGGTGGATTTGAAAGCATGTTGTCAGGCACACAGTAGTGAATGAACGTTGGAAACAAGTATTGCTATTGGAGAGTTTTTTTAATCTCATAATTTATTGGCAGATATTCTAAATTATATATAATATATCTCACAACTAGAAATGTCAATATAATATATTTGTGTTTGCATTTTCATACTTCTCAGCAGTTCCCTTAAGGCTGGCCAGTTGTTGCTCAGTATCTTGTAGCTGGGCCTCCTTCTCCTTCAAGTTGTCCTGAACCTCCTTCAGCTCCTGCAGACTGGTCAGAACTGATGCTGACTGGGAGCGAGCGCCTGGAGGTGAAAAACAAGGGAAATCAAACGGTAGGAGTATCTTTTTGACAGCACTGAAAAACAGCTTTAGTATTTTTTCTTTATTGATGACTCAGGACACATACTCCTTTACGTTCATCCTCATTGCTCTCACCTCCGCTCAGAGTTCCCTGTGGGTCGAAGATGTCCCCTCCGAGAGTGACAGTCTTAGTCATCACCTGCCTGTCAAAAGCCACTTTCTTGGCATTGTCCAGGGTGTCGCACACCAGTGTGGAGCCAAAGACATACTCCATGGCCTTACGCAGGTCAGACTCATAGCCCACCAGGGACAGAGCAGTGTGGACATTATCTTTTCCAACCTGACAGAGAGAAGGGAGAGAAGAAACAAAAGGGAGTGAGAAAGAAATGGTGTATTAGAAAAGACAATGTGTCAAGATAAAAATAAAAATAAAAACATAATTTCTGTAAAGAGATCTCTCACCAGGCTCTTGGCGCTGTTGACCACTCTGTCGTGGAGTGTCTTGGCTGAGATCTTGTTCAGGGGAATGATGGTGTACCTCCGCTGCAGCTCTCCTTTCTCCAGCAGCTTTTTACCAGTCACCTGGCAAAGACACAAACATCCCCATGTTACAATATAAAGTAAATGTGGTGACAATAGAAAGACGTGCACAATGACAGTGACACTGCGTTACCTCTGTGTCTACTACGATGTTGTAGAGACGTCCTCCTGCCACCACCTCCAGTGCTGTTGCATAAGAGACGTCACGGACTGTGATCAAGTTAGCTAGCAGCCCCTTTACTTTGCTGTGGTCCCAGCCACGCTCTGGGTCCCTGCAAGAAAACAAACAATGCACGAAACACTTAGGGATTTTCTTTTTACTACAAGTTAATTAACAGGTGATAGTTACAATCAGGCAAAAACAAATCCATCACTTAGTTTAAAGAATAAGTCAGATAAACTTTTACTTGGAATCAACTTACACCCATACAGCTCTCTAAGCTCTAACTGATTAGACCTATCATACAGATTGATTTGATTACTCTTATGTTCATTTCTTTCAGTTAACTTGGACGCTTGTTTTTAATCGAACTGGGCAATGTACCAATACAATGTTGACATATTACGATATAAGATGCAATTTAATCTTGATTTTGCAGATCAGTCGATAGAGAAAAATCACTGTTAGTTTCAGCCCTGAATGTAAAAGTATTTTCATATTAACTTGATTAACAAAAAAAACTCCTGTAAGTGTGTAAGGCAGTTTACTCAAATAAACTGGGTTGTTATTATTAGGAGCACAACAAAGTATGAATATTGATATTCAAAATATATTGTAATATTAAGATGGTGAATAAATTCAGTCAGGGAGTCCGTACCTGTAGTCAAAGCGCAAATTGGGGAATCGTGACACAAGACGTTCATAGGTCTCTTTAAGTTTAGAGACTTCTCTGGACAGCTGTCGTCTTTTGTCCAGCAGACTTTCCTCCTTCCCATCTGCAAACAGACAGACACACCCCCACTGATTACACAGGACATTTTCAGAAGGGGAACTAAATATACAAGAATTGTTTGTACAGAGACAAACACACACAGATGCATGCAATGTACCTTCATAGTTGAGTTTAGAAAGCTCAGCCTCAAGCTTCTCCCTATTTCTTCTCACAGCCTGTAGGCTGTCCTGGTCCTTCTTGTAGCCTCCGTCCATCTTTTTCACTTCTGCCTGTTTGGTCTTCAGCTCAGTCTGGGCATGTTTCAGTGTCATCTGGGCCTGGACAGATAGAAGGACCACAGTGACAAGATGAACAGACAGTACTTTGTTAATTCCAAATAGACATTGCAGTGTTGCAGCAATGACTTCTCATTTTGCACAAAAACATCTCATTCCTGGCAGATATTTAAGATTTTTTCCTCACCTGCTTGGCCTCAGTATCTGCCTTGCTCATGTCATTTTTGCAGGTCATCATCTGCCCAGCCAGTGTGGCTTCCTCTCCATCTTCATTGGTGGAGAGACCTGCAGACACAGCTTTGAAATGCTGTTCAGCTGCCTCAAGAGCTGTACTGTCCTTCTGTCCGTCGTCCTGTAGAGTCTGAAGCTGCTCCATCAATTTAGAAACCTCCTTTTCCTTTACTGTAAGCATCTTCTTGTCCTGAGGATGGATGAGTGAGGTATAGTTATAGTTTTGAAAAAAAATCAGCATACTGCCATCAAGTATTTGTTTTGACTAGAGATCACACAGGTCCTACAGATAGCATAATGTACTGTAGATTGATGAAGTGGTAGCATGGTCCTGTTACCTCCTCCATACTCTTTACAAGCTCCTTCCTCTTCTTGACTTCATCTTTTAGATTCTGTTTTTTAAGGTCAAGTGCACTTTGGGCTTTGGCGTCCACACGCTGCATGTCTGCAAGAGTTTCCTCCAGGGATTTTAAGACTCCATTCACCTCCTTCAGATGAGAATATAAACATTGGCTACAAAGCAATATGAATCTTGATTCCATTACTTTGATTATAAACACTTAAAATGTTAATTTTGAACACACTTGAAAGCTGAAACAGTCATCGAGAGGGAAATATCAAAATGATCAACAAAATTTTGACATCCAAGAATGAGGGAAATAGTTATCCCCTCTTTACCTGGTCCTTTTTCTTCTGCAGCTCGTGAATCTGGGCTGACAGCTCCTGGACTTTGCTCTCATTCTCAGCCATGCTGGCTTGCATCTTGGCGATGTTATCCTGCATCACCTTCAGGTTCTCTGCCGACTTCAGCTTTGTCTCCTCTGCGCACACAAACAGCCAGGCCACATACAGCCGTGACAAGTGCTGGATCTCACGCATCAGCTTCTGATACTCCAGGTATGATGATCGTTCCTGCAAAGGGAGGAAAGATGGAGGGGGAATGATTAGCAACTACATGTGCAATGAAAGATTGTTCTAAATGTGTGGTTTTGTAGTCAACCTACCTCTTGCAGTTTATGCATGGTTGGAGTAATTTCCTCATCCAAAATCTGAAAAGGCAAAAAAAAGAGAGGGTGTTAATTACTGTACTTGTGACAGCTCCCCGCTGCAGAATGAACAGTCATTCAAAACATTTATGAAAGTTTGACGTACGGTCTGAATCTCCTTTAGCTTGGCCTCCTTCTTCTCAATTGTTTTCTGAGCACTAATCTTTTTACATTCGTACATCCTCGTGCCTGCCGCCTCCTCAATCATAGCAAGGATCTGAAAGAGTACAAAGTAATTGTGAGGGGGGGGGGGAAACAGGAACATATGTATGAAAATGTTTTAATGCTGAGATGGTGTTATGTTTAGTTTTACCTCTGGTGGCTTCATATTCAGAACTTTGGTGATCCTCCCCTAAAATGTCAGAAACACATTTCATTTTACATTCACACAATGTAAAATACTACAGAGGACTAGACGATGCAAACTGCTGCACACACGAGACTGACCTGCATGATGAGAAAATGTGGATTGTTGACATTGAGGCCGACAGAGCAGAACAAGTCCTGCACCCTGGTGTTGTTGGCATTGACTCCATTGATGAGGTACTTGTTCCTGCCACCGATCACAACCTTGGAGAATGATCAGTAATGTTTAATTCCGTGTTAATTACAGAGCCTTCAAAGATAACGGTGTCTTTCTTTCTTTGCCAACCTGTCTGGTGATGGTGATCTCATCGTGGGTTTCAAACCCCAGAGGACTCTGGCTTTTGTTGGAGTTGTCAAAGGTGATGGACACGGTGGCCTTGGTGATGCCACCCTGTCCGTTTTTGTACACCAGGTCCTGGAGGTTGGAGGCTCGCACCTTTTCAAGAGGAAACGTAACAAAGGGACACAGGTTGATCAAGTTTCCTGTTCGGTGTAACAGAGGTATGATCACGACACAAGCTAACTCATCTCCTACGTTAATTTTGCTAGCTAGTTTACGATGAACACATGGGTTGAATTCATATTCCAGCCCAACACAAACTGTGTCCGTTTCAAGGTGCAGATGAAGCAAACTCTTATCCCAGAACGCAGACTCACATGGGAGAGGTTGGTGATCCCCAAGAGAAAACATATCGAGTCCAAAATGTTGGACTTCCCGCTGCCGTTCAGTCCCGTGATGGCGTTGAACAGCGGGTCGAAGCCGTTGATCTCCGTCCTCTGAGCGTAGGACTTGAACCCATCGATGATGATAGACTTGATGTGCATCTCTAAGCTGCCCCCGCGCTGCCCGCAGGATCCAGAGGTAAAACACAGGACGTGTGGATTCTAGAGTCCGCCAGGAAACGAGAGAGACTCCAGGTTACAGCCCGGTGTTTACAACCGACTGCAGGAAACTTCTCTCCTCTCACTTGAATTTTGGCGGCAGGCAATGAGCCGTGGCTCTGCCCTCTCTGCGCCTGACGCAAAAGTAATACGTGGAATCGATCTTACCAACAAATGCACATGAAGTAACGCACGAATCAACGCATGAAGATCATGGCTCATATGCGGGATTTTAATGTGAAATTTAAACTGAGAGGAAAACTGCTCCGTGTATGAGTATTTATTTTTGGTCAGGCAAATCTTGAGGCTACTAAATGCCCTACGGACGGAAAAGCTCATAATAAAATCATCGGAAATAAAAATGACATCAAATCTTTATGAAGGAAGGAAGAGTGAGATGTAAGAAAATATATTTACTCAGTAATGTTACATTCTGTACATTTACTGTTCTTTTAATGTGATATTCAAACATTTAGCTAAATGTAGCCGGTGACAGTAAACTGGCATTTCATTCATTTAACCTTTAAGACAGTTTTCTTGTAAACATGTCAAACACATCAATGATGAAGCTCCTTAAATTTAAGGATTTATCTCTTTCACTTTTATCAACTACTTTGAGATTTAGACAAAACAAGCACTGTGTGTGAAAAGGATGATTTTTCTCCCTTTTTAACTGGGCCCTGTCTCCCTACATTAAACATTTGGTCATTTGATTATATTTGAATTTTGATGATCAATTAGAATCTTGTGTGGATATA